ACTGTTCAACCAGATTTCTGAATTAATCTACCAAAGTCGTTTCTAAGTGGGGAAAAAGAAATTATTTTGAAGGTGCATGTTTTCAAACTTCCGGTAACAGTGAAATCACTTCAAATAACTTGATTCAATCTTGGTTCGTGTCAGATTTCTAAAGTTTGTACCAGTTTTAGAGGTGAGAAGGGGRTTTATACTGAGCATGTATAATGACAAATTGTCGCGAAGGTCGAAAAATAGCTACAGTTCACAATATTTAAATATTTCATTAAGTAATATTATTTTAAAATGTAATTTTAGTCCGTTTATTGTAGCTATACTGTGCATTTTGTCATTACAAAGAAAATATTATATTTCTAGCCTAATAATAATATTATGAATTATAGTATGGCCATGAAGAATTTTTATTATTATTATTTAGACTTTTTTGTTATTATATTACATTTTACTGGTGAAGCTGTGACACCCCCTCCTCCCGCTGAGACGCAGAGGAGGACAGGACCTTGGATGCGGTCAGAAGAACCCAATTGAACAGAGCCGGGGGGATTATATTGTCAACAAAACAATTAACCTCTCGTTTCGGATCAGTAACATGCAGGTCCCTCTCCCACGTAAATATCAAAGGAAAGCGTCGCTTATTTGTCATCCAGCAGCTTCCAACAACGTGAATCACTCCTCCCACTCGCGTGGCAACCAAACACCTTTCAAGGAATAAGCTATTTTAATTTTTTTAGCTTAAACAGACTAATAGAAATAAAGACAAACAGTGAGCTTGGCTGYTTCTAAACTATACAATTTCATTCTATAATTCGGCTTTGGTGAATAAAATAAAGTGAGCCATTTTWTGCCTAGAAATGCGCATGTTTTGATCTGGGTTGGTAACTGTGGGATACTGCTTCACAGTGAGCAGCCAAGGAGACTGACGTAAATTATTAAAATCTTCTSCAGAAATGTACATACTTGATGCGATTTATTAATGCCGAAAGTAAGACTCGTTTAATACTGAATAACATCTTTTGTAATCTATTTTGAACTCTCAGCTTTCACCTATAAAAGCAGAGTTGTTTTAAATCGAACGCGTTTAACATGAAGTCTGGTGTCAGACAGGTTAATGGAGCGTTATCTCCGAATGAAGATGCCGTTTTTCACCCCGAAACCCACCCGAACACTTACCCGACCTCTGACGCACGTTTCCTGGGGTCAAAGCGTCCTTTCCGGAATCTTGTGGTGTTTTAAAATCGCAACAGTGCGACAAGAAATGCCTTCATATTCCAGTAACTCTGGTGTCTGATGAGGAATACAGTTATGGCGCTGAAGCAGGAGGGCTCGCGCGCACACGGACCTTAGCAGGTTTATAGATGATATTTAGCTCACGAGAGGAAAAGAAAATGGGTCAAACTAAAGCCGAATAAACACAAAGGAGCTGGGATGATTAAAATGGAGGACCAAACCTATCATTATTGGAAATAAATGAGAGACAGCAGGCGCAAATCGTGACACCGCACCTCGTACTGGCACTTCCGGTGGCAGG